ATCATTTAAAAGATAATGATCACATCATTAAATGATTTTATTGATGGTCAGGTAATAAAATATATTAGTTGTTCTTTAAAATTTCGAAATGTTATTTATTTGTATATTATTATCAATTATGGTAGTGTTTTTATCACTTTTTTTTTGTGATGTTTCAAAAATGAACTTAGTGTAAAATATTTTTTTATTGCATAGTATGTTAAATAAACTATAAAACCTTAGGATGAAAATTAGAAAAAAAAAATCTCTTGATTATGTAAGGGATTTATTTTTTGGCAATTGCTAAATCATTTTTTTTAAAAAAAAAAGAATTATTATGAGAAAATTGAATTCTAAAAAACATGTGTGTGTATTTTGTAAACATTTATACTCAAAATTTTATTTTGAATTTCATTACATAAAGAAGACTACTTCTATAACTTTTATAAATAATAATAATGACATTATATGACTATAAATTTTACAATAAAATAATAACCGAGTATTATATGGTGAACAAGAATAAATAAAATTTGTATTTTTTTTATATCAATGAATAACTATGTATTCTAAAATAAAATAAATATTAGTATGACGTGTTAGCGAAATTTATATTAATTAACATGTTAATTTTTTAGCTTAAATAAACGCCACTTATTAAAAGATGTGAAATATGAATGATCCAAGCCAAGCCTATTTTTTTTTGTCTAGACGTACAAGTCCTATAGAAGTAATTGATTTATTATATATATCACGTGCATCGCACGGGGTATGCACTAGTTATTGGTCAAGAGATTTGTAAGTAAATTTCGTGTATAGTAAAAATGATGTCTAATTGGATATGAAAGTGATTTTGAATATTACCAACAATTACTTAAAATCAGATCTTTAATAGGATGTGTAATTGGATATGAAAGTGATTTTGAATTTATTGCAACAAAATCACATAAAATCGGATCTTCAATTTAAAGAAATAATTGCTCAACTATGAAAACAGGATGAGCGGAAAAAACCCTAAGGTAGCGACAACTTCAATACAACGCCGTTCGGATGGCCCCCATGCCGATCCTCCCGACCGCCAAAATTCAGACTTCTCAGGCCAGCAGCAAGACTATTTTCCGCCGCTGGAGAGCTCTCGCTCTCTGAAACGCTCTCGGCTGCAACACACCACCGACAATACTGTGGAGTTGAATAGCGCTGATCAGCCGACGCCCAAGGCGACCTCGGTGGGGCCGAGTTTCCGTGATATGCTTACCAACCGACGACAACATGTTGACCTACTCTCGGATGATGAGAGTGTGAATGACGATGATGAGGACGTCACTGTTGATCGCCATGGGACAGTGCCGGATATCAAGGTGAGGGATAGCTTCTATGAAAACCTGTTGAAGTCATGGCAGAATGTGGTGGTGGTAAAGGTGATGGGTGCGGTTCTGTCCCCTCCCCTCCTGTACAACAAGTTGGTGAATTTGTGGCCTTTCATGAACGGATGCGACATGATCGATTTGGAGAATGGGTACTTCCAAATTCGGTTTACAACCCATGATGATGTCGTTCGAGTGTTGGTGGGCGGACCGTGGATGGTTTCGAAACAATTCAAAAAAAATTACGTTCATGTCCAGCCGTGGAGTGACAAGTTTGATGTTACGTGTACTCAAATTAAATCGCTGGTGACGTGGATTCGCTTACCGGGGATGCCAGAGCATTTGTACCACAAAAAAATTTTCCGTTCAATTGGGGAAGTGGTCGGAAAGGTAGTGAAGATAGATCACCAGACCGCTGCTCAAACGAGAGGCAAATATGCTCGCCTAGCCGTGGTTTTGGATTTGAATAAACCGTTATGTGCTGGCTTCACTATCCGAGGGAAATTTCAAAGGGTGGAATATGAATTTCTTCCTGACATTTGCTTTACCTGTGGCTTTTACGGGCATTCCGCGGCTCATTGTGGTGATGGTAAGCGGGCAGCCACCGACGAGGACACCCCGGTCTCTGAAAATGTGCGTGCCAGTGGTACTGTCAGTGGCGAGAAAGGCCAGGAGAGCAGTGGTGCCCCAACAGACAAGACAGGCGGGAGTATGTATGGGCCATGGCTCGTGGCGAAGACGTCTAGGCACTTTCATCAACGCCCAGGGAAAGAAGTCGTTGCGATTGGTAAGTCTAGGGCCGACCATACCACTGGCTCCGGCTCACGTTTCAGCGTCCTTGCGAAAGATGTACCAGAGGGAAGCACCTCTATTGTGGATAATGGTCGCAAGGAGCCTGCAGGGGGCACAACGGTAACGACGAGTACTAATAGTGGGATTGCCTCTGGTTGGCGTACAGTGACTGGTAAACCGAAACGTGGTCAGGGGAAAAAGGCCATTAGTACTGCTCGGGTGGAACGAAGGGATATGTCGGGTGACCAATCAAAGGTTGGAGGTACAGCTGCACCAGGAAAGATGGCCGAGACGCCGATGTTACGTGGCCAGACGCAAATGGGTTCCTTTTTGGCGCCGACCATCGAGAAATCTCTGGCTCCTTTTGCTTTTACATCTATTGTCAACCCGGTGGCTACAACTTTGGACTCGAGAAAACACAATGTCGTTAGAGTGATGGAACCGCTGAACCCGTCTACGCCTAATGGAGACGTGGAGTTACTAGATCTGGGTGACTCGTCTACAAAGGAACAAGCTATGGTGGTGGACCCTCAGGACCCGAGCCGTAACGCCCTCCCTCAGGAGGAGCCCCCGAATGACCGAGAATTGACCCACGAGGCCCGTGACCTTAGCATGGATGAGGATAGTGAGACTATGAATTTGGCAGCTGATGGTCCCGCCTTAGCCTGTTGATGTGGCTTTCTCTTCTATGTAGTTTCCTTATGAATTTTCTAGCTTGGAACGTGCAAGGGGCGGGCTCCCACAGATTTAGGAGAGCCTTCTCTACAATTGTTTACCAACACCAATCTGATGTGGTGGCGATGTTTGAGCCTCGAATCAGTGGATTTAATGCCGAAGAGTTTATCCGTAGGTCAGGGTTCAACCGCTCCTTTAGAGTGGAGGCTTCTGGCTATTCGGGTGGAATATGGATCCTGTGGAAGGAGAAAGCTGTGGTTACTATCTTACACTGCCATAAGCAGTTTGTCCACCTCAGAGTCCAGATCGATGACCAGGTATCTTTAGTTACTTTTGTATATGCCGCACCGAACCCAATAGGCAGACGAGATCTATGGCCCATTTTATCTGAGCTCGCCTTGTCGATTTCCGACCCCTGGTTGATTGGAGGAGATTTTAACTGCATCCTGAGGCCCTCGGAGCACTCTGGTGGATCTCGCCGGGGAGAGACTGTATGTGCGGCCTTTTCAGATTGGATTTTTTACCATGGGCTACATGAAGTGAAGACTGATGGTATGCCTTTCTCTTAGCGTCGTGGTGAGTTATCGAAGAGGCTCGACCGATTCCTGTGTAATGAGGCATGGCGAGATACATACCCTTAGGCCTTTGTGCTTCATTCCCCACGATTACAATCTGACCACAACCCTTTGTTGGTC